CCCAGCCCTCTGTGCTTCCCCCCGGAGCCTGTGCTCCAGCCCCACCAGCAGCACGGATCTCCCTTTGGCTTCGGCCACCTTTCTGCCTTCAAGAGCCCGGACACCATCCTGGAGGGCAGCGTGCCTCTGAGCTCTTCCCTGCAAGAACATCAGCCCCTGCCTCACCCTGAGCCCTCACAGACTCTGCAGCAGCAGGAAGATTTTGTTCAACAGGATGGAAACATCAATTTCAGAGAGATCCTGGAGGACATGCTGAGGACGTTCAATGGGGCCCCTCAAGAGAACATTCTCCCCCAGGAGCGCCAGAGCGTGATCCAGTTCAGTGGGCTTTTCCCAAACTTCTGAGAGCCTCTGGGTGCACCGGGCGACTCTCAGCCACTGCAAATCCATATCCTTTGGTGCAGAGATGAGGGCTAGGGAGCCCTGGCTTTTCTACTGGTTTGGACTGATCCGTTTCTTTTATTGAGGGAAGAAGAAAAAAAAAATTATAGTTCCTTAAAGCAAAGTTTATTTATATATAATATACAGTCAGGCATGTATAGATTTGTATATAACGTGCTTGGGGGTAGTTGAGTGCTGCCGAGTTCAGCTGATCTGGACTGATGGTCTCTGCTGTGTTCCAGTCCTGCTCACGGGTCAGCGCTGTGTGAGACCAAGGAGAGACACCCATCCCCTGCAGACTACTGAGTTTCCAAGCCAAGTCGTGCCTCTCTCAGCCCAGAGCACTGCAGCTGCAGCCCCTGAAGCTGCCTCAGCTTTGCAGCAGTTGCAGGAACTGACTGCACCAGCACCTAATTAGCCGGGATCGTGGCAGAGCTGCTGAGTTTGGCACAGCTCAGCCAGGCTGGGACCACGCAGGGATTGCCTGGAGCGTGGGGGCCGTGAGTCCCACTGACCTCTCCTGAGCCTGCAGGGCTGCTGCAGCTGGCCGTGCTTTTCCCACATTTTGCTGTCTTGTGCTTTTTGTCCTGGCCTTCTCCCCAGCCCTGTGCTGCAGGGCTTCTTGGCTGGGACGGGGACGGCCCGGCTGTGTCACCCAGCACTGCTCTCAGCCCCAGGTCCCTGGCGAGCACAGGGATGTGCAGTATTGCTGCTCATGCTGCATATCCAACCTCCAATACCAAAGAGCAAACGTCTGCTTTGCACTGCACTGCCCCACATCCCCACCTGCCCCAGCAGCAAGGTGGGCAGCTGCCCCCCAGCACAGAGGGCACCGCTGCCAGCCCTGCTCCACACCTCGCACCTCGGCAGGTCCCGGGGACTCAGCTTTTGTTTTCTCTGCTTAACCTGAGGAGTGTGGCAGGGAACTGGCAGCGTTGCCCTGGGGCAGCTGCTCTGCATCCTCCCCTCTGCGTCTGTTCTCTGCAGTCACCTGGGCGTCCCTGGAAGCAGCACCGGGATGCTTTCAGGGGAAGGATGTGAGCCCCTCCCCAGCTGGCCCAGCGAGGACCCCTGCCCAGAAGGTCTGTCTTGAGGGGCTGCAGCTCTTCATATGAGCTCCTGAGCCCCTCCAGGCACAGAAGCCCCAGCTTTGGGAAGCGCCATGGGTTGCTGCAACCCCAGAGACTGAGGGCTGCCTGCCCCGGTGTGCTGAGAGCAGGGGCAGCCCGTGGGCTCCCTGCCCCCCATCACTGTTTGCCCCCGTCCAAGGAACCCTCCTTACCTCACAGCCCACACCAAAGATGGGAGCTCCTGCCCCCAGGCTCCCAGCAGGGCAGGGCTCTCCTCTTCCCCTCCTATTGAAAGTATTTCCCCGCTCACAACACTCACTTTCACTCACTTGGCACTTGCTGAATTCTCAGCAACCAGGGAAAAGGGTACCAAGAAAACCCATTTCAGAGAGACCCAAACTCAGGAATCACGAGGTATTTCCACCTGGTGCCCTTTGCCCACCCCTGTGCCACGTTAGCAGAGTCCCACGTGGCAGCTTTGACACACGATGTTAAAATATATGCAATTATCCCTCCCCCAGCTCTGGATGACAGAGAGCACCTTCAAGGAAACCCCTCCCTGCCCTGATCCTGTGTTTTTGTCAGGGTTAATAATATGTAACGATATCTTTTAACTAAATTATTATGCCGTTGTCCTACTGATTGTATGTATTTTTAAATGAGTCCCTCTTTTTCTTCCCTTACACCTTTTTGTTAGCACTTTTTAATCTGCTTGTCGTTGGCCTTTGTTTTTTTTTTTCTATGTGTATTTATAATTAATTGAGATGTATATATGTAAAGAGATTTGGTTTTTTTTTTTAGAACATGTGCCTTGGACTAATAATTCCTGAATTTTCTACTTGCCTCAGAAGGATCATTTTTCAATCTGCTCAGTAAAAAGGAGCCACACGTGAGGTCTCTGTAAGTCCCACCTCTGTCTGTTCAGCCTTCCCCACGCTCGCACCAGGCCTGGGGTCAACGTCCCAGCTGCTCCCCACACACCCCATGGCACCGGGCCACCGCTGGGAGGAACGGGGCTGAGGGAGGATCCTGCCTAGACTGTGCCCTCCAACTCAGATGCCAACAGCTTTGTTTTTTTCCCCAGCTTTGCTGCAGAAAACACAGATAAAGGCGCTCTTGTTTACACAGATGGACTCCGCCAAGAGCTGCTGAGCAGGCGCAGCTCAGCCCCACGCGCTGCTCCTTAGCCCAGAGAGCGACAGCCAGCCCTGCTGTGCTCCCAGCTTCACCCTTACCCCACATCGGGGGCAGGGCTGAGCCCCGCAGCCCCGGCTCAGCTCCACGTGCTGCGTCACCGCGCCGTTTCACCACAGCACAGCTTGCACTGGTTGCACTGACCGCCCCGGGCTGCATCTTGCACCACTGAACATCTCAGGGAGCGCTGGGCATTGCTGCGTGCTGCAGCTCCTCCAGGCAGGGAATCTAATTCAGGCAGACGCTGCGTTGTTGTGCAGCACAGCGCACAGGGTGCAGGGTTGCTCCTCCCAATGGGACGTGCAGACGTGCTCCTCTACTTCAGTTTTTCCTCGGGGCAGCAGCTGACCCGGGATTTGGTGTAATTTCCCAGTCAGCACTAATGAGGATTATCCCTGCCGGCTCTGTGAAAGCTCTCAGCTGCCCCACTGAGCCCCAGTTGCCCCCCAAGGCAGAGGGGAGCGGCGCATGCAGCTCCAGCCCCATCCACACACGCAGATATCACTCGTTTCCAGTGGGTTTATTGCAAGTGGACAGCAGACACTACATTATGGCTACGGGAGAGGGCTGCCCAGCAGAGCCCCCCGGCTCTGGGACGCCTTCCTCCAGCAGGTGCACGCCAAATCTTCAGGTCTGCCTCACCAGCAGGCTGGCTTCAAGGCAGACCGTCATGGTGCTGGAGGACGGCGCCCACGGGGAGCGGGGAGCGGTGCTGGGCAGCAGCTCGGCAGGCAGCTCTACAGGTAGGCAGGCAGCTCCTTCTCGATCACCTTCGAGACGAAGGGGAGCATCACCTTGAGAGCATCACTGCCCTCAGCACATGCCAGGAGCCCTCAGCTGGGGCTGGGGGTCGGGCAGAGCGCGGGCAGCACTTACGTAAGGATCCTCCATTGGGCTGTACCTCTTCACCACTTGGCCCTCGCGGTTGATAAGAAACTGTGGGAGTGAAGCAGGAGCCAAATGAGCGAGTCCAGCTGCAGCATGGGAACGGCTGAGCAGCACAGGGCTCTGCTCCGGGGCTGGGACTGCCCTATAGCACAGCTGTACCCTGCAGAGCTGCTCCCCCACAGCCCAGCACAGCGCCCGGATGGCAGGGCTTCCCCCCCCACCTCAAAGCTGAAGATCTGACCCACACACAGCCCCGAAGAAGGCAGCGCAGCCCCTACCTTAGTGAAGTTCCACTTGATGGCACTGAGAGAGAGGAAAACCGGGGGTGAGAGGCGCAGAACTGCGCTGCAGCACCGCCCCATTGCCCCCTCCCCATCCAGCACTCACTTCCCCAGCGTGCCCCGGCCCTTGGGCTGTTCCTTCATCCACTTCCACAGCGGGTGGGCGCCGTCCCCATTAACCTCAATTTTGCTGAACATATCGAACTTCACCCCGTAGCCCTCCGCAAAGGCCTTGATCTGCGCCTCGTCCCCGGGCTCCTGCGGGGGAAGGGGGAGCGGTGGGGGTCACACCGTGCTCGGGGATCCCCGCACAGCCCCTCCCTGCTCCGCTGTGCCCACCTGCTTCCCGAATTGGTTGCAGGGGAAGGCCAGGATCCGTAAGCCCTTCTCAGCGTATCGAGCGTGCAGATCGACGAGCTGAGTGTAATTCACCGGGGTCTTTCCTCATTTGGACGCCACGTTGGTGACGATGCAGACGAAGCCCCTGCGGGAACGGGGGGGGGGGCAAAGCGGTGGAGAAGGGGGAAGGGCAAAGCCGGGGGGTGTGCGTGCGGCCGCCGCATTGAGCACTGAGCCGCGGCACAGCGCTCCCCGCACCGCCCCGCACCGCCCCGCACCTGTACTGCTCCAAGGCCACGTCGTGCCCGTCGATGTCCCGTGCGTGGAAGTCGTACATGGAGGTGGCCGAGCGCCACCCGTCCGCTTGCGCGCACTGCGGGGTCAGCGGTCACCATGCAGCCACCACGCGGCCCCGGCCGCTCCCGTCCCGCAGTCCGACCCGATCCCATCGCAGCTTCCCCCGGCCCGGCCCGCCTCCCCGCGCTCACCATTCTCCGCTCCGCTCCCCGCACCACCGCCGCTCCGCACAGCAGCGCCCGTCCCCAGCGCCAACCCCAACTCATCCCACCGCCGCCCGGCCCCTCGACCAATCGGCGGCTCGGACGTGCGGAGGCGGCGCCCACCCGCTTCAGCACCGCTAATCATTGTTCGGAGCGAGCGGCTCCCTCGGCTGACAGACGGGAGGATCGACCAATCAGATTGGCGAGGCGGCCGCAGAGGCGTGAGAATCCGCGTGGGGGCGAGGACGGCGTCCTTGCGCCATTCCTCCCCCCGCCCTCCGCCTACAGCTCCCGGCATTCCCCGCGGCGAAGGACCCCGCGCGGGGCGGCCCCGCCCGCTCCTCGGGACCGGCATTGCGGCGGGCAGCCCGGGGTCCTGCGGGGCAGCATGGACGACGAGGAGGAGACGTACCGGCTGTGGAAGATCCGCAAGACCATCATGCAGGTGCGGGGCGGTGTGGTGCGGTGCGGAGCGGTCTCCGGTCTCAGCTCTCCTCTCCTCATGCGGCGCTTCTTCTCCCAGCTGTGCCACGACCGCGGTTATCTGGTGACGCAGGACGAGTTGGATCAGACGCTGGAGGAATTCAAGGCGCAGTTCGGGGACAAACCCAGCGAGGGCCGCCCGCGCCGCACCGACCTGACCGTGCTGGTGGCTCACAACGACGATCCGACCGACCAGATGTTCGTTTTCTTTCCCGGTGAGCTGTGGGACCGGGTTGGGAACGGAATCACCGCGCTGTCGCCGGGTTCGGTCTCACCCGGCGCTGTTTCTCATCCAGAGGAGCCCAAAGTCGGCATCAAAACCATCAAGATGTACTGCCAGCGCATGCAGGAGGAGAATATCACGCGTGCGCTGATCGTGGTGCAGCAGGGAATGACTCCCTCGGCCAAGCAGGTGCGATGCGATGCGGCCCCGGGGCTGTTTGAACCCCTGGGCCCATAAACACGGAGCTTTTGTGCAGATAAAACTTCTTATCAAAGGTTCTGAGCCTTAACGCTGGGCTCGCTCAGCATTCAATGCATTGAACTGGAGCAACCTTTAAGAGACCAGATGAGGTTTAACAAAAGCAAGCGTAGAGCCTTGCATCTGGGGAGGAATAATTGCACGCACCGGTACGAGTTGGGGGATGAGCTGCTGGAGAGGAGCTGTGCAGAGAGGGACCTGGGTGTCCTGGTGGACGACAGGTCGGCCGTGAGCCAGCAGTGGCCAAAAAGGCTGATGGCATCCTGGGGTGCATTAAAAAGAGTGTGGGCAGCAGGTCGAGGGAGGTGATCCTCCCCCTCTGCTCTGCCCTGGTGAGGCCTCATCTGGAGCACTGCGTCCAGTTCTGGGCTCCCCAGTACAAAAAAGACAGGGATCTCTTGGAAAGAGTCCAGCGGAGGGCCATGAAGATGGTGAGGGGCCTGGAGCATCTCTGCTATGAGGAAAGGCTGAGTGAGCTGAGTCTGTTCAGCCTTGAGAAAAGAAGACTGAGAGGGGACCTGATTCAGGGCTGTAAATACCTGAGGTGTGGGGGGCAGAGTGGCGAGGCCAGGCTGTTTTGAGCAGGGTGTGCAGACAGGACGAGGGGAAACGACCAGAAACTGCAGCATAGGAAGTTCTGCACAAATGTGTGCAAGAGCTTCTTTACAGTGAGGGTGACGGAGCGCTGGAGCAGTCAGGGGGCACAGAGATCTGTTTGCTGTCTGCCTGTGTGACTGTCAGGGTGAGCACAGACACCGTGCTGCCCTCCTGGTGCTGCTGCTCATGGCGGGGCAGAGCTAAGCGCTCACACTGAGGCTGTCCCAGAGCAGTGCTGCAGCATCTTGTGATTCTTCCTTCCCAGTCCCTGGTCGATATGGCTCCCAAATACATTCTGGAGCAGTTTCTGCAGCAGGAGCTCCTGATCAACATCACTGAACATGAGGTGAGCAGCGCAGGGCGTCCCTTTCATCCCTGCCCTGTGCTGGGTGGTGCTGCTGGAGCTTTATTTCTTACCACAAATTGCTCATCTTGCAGCTGTGGAGAGGGTGGTTGCTTTCTCAGTCTGTCTTATCTTGTGATTTCTCTCCTGCTGCTTACAGCTGGTCCCAGAGCACGTTGTCATGACAAAAGAAGAAGTAACCGAGCTGCTGGCCAGATAGTATCCTTTGTTTGGTCCTTCCCTTCCTGTCAGGGGGTGATGAGAAAAGTGAACACCTCTGACTGTGGAGTGTATGATGTTCTGCTGGCTGCGCCCTGCCTTAGGACAAACAGAACCCTGGGTTCTGGCAGAGCTTCTCCTTGACTCCACACAGTAAGCTGAGGGAGAACCAACTCCCCAGGATCCAGGCTGGGGATCCCGTGGCCCGATACTTCGGGATAAAGAGAGGCCAGGTAAGAGAAAACCCAATAACAGACAGCAGGGCCCTGCAGGCAGGGCGAGGAGCTGTAGCAGCACAGTATTCCAGAGCTTGGAGATGGGAAAGGTTTCCTCTTTTTTAGGGCTTTTTTTTTCCCTAGATGTTATGGGTTAGGTAGAGATGTGTGCAAACCAGCAGATAGCCCTGGGGCCAGGCTTGGCTGCCTGCTGAACCAGCTGGCAACAGCTGCTGTAACACCAGGCATCCCCCCGTGTTCCTTCTGCTGGCCTTCCAGGTGGTGAAGATCATCAGACCGAGTGAGACTGCGGGCCGCTACATCACCTACAGGCTGGTGCAGTGACAGAGCTCTCAGGTAATGTGTGACATCCCCACCTCTGGGCAGCGCTTTAAACTTGCTCTGAGGCTTTCCAGAGGTGACTTGAAGTGAGTTGGCTCTGGGAAAGGATTCCCTCCAAGTGATGTAAATGATTTGTGTAAGGGAACCGTGTGGGATGGATCAGAGCGGGGCTGTCCTGGTCTGGTGCCTCAGTAGCATTGCTGAAGGCACATCTCTCAGGGCAGCAGTGGGGTTTTGCCTTGAGAGCGATCTGCTGAGGGGGACGGGAGCTCATTCACATCCTGAGTTCTTTCTTCCAGATGTGAAACAGTTCTGTGACATCTGACCTTCCCACCCACCGACAGCTCACGGCTCCCTGAGCTCTGTTTGATGGCTGAGGAACTCCTCTGTCCCTGCTGCCTCTCTGCAGTTGTTTTCCTTGGCCCAGTTCCTCATTTTCCAGCGTGGATTTTGCTGCAAATCCTTCTGCTTCGTTAAGGAATGCCATGACAGCACCTTGAAGCACCTGGATTGTACAAATGAGTGGAAAGAGGCTTTTGCTACCCTGTTCTATGAGATCTTATTTTTAATAAAGGTTTGTACTCTTGCTGTTCTTCACTGTTTCTGCGTTTCTCAGCCCTCTCCTGTATCAGAGCTGAACGGCCACAGGCAGTTCCATGTGTGCCATTCTCTGTGGGATTTGTTGCTGCTCAAATTCTATGGTTCAGCCTCACTGCTGTTCTGTCTCTGACCTTTGTTTTGAGACTGTGGTTGTCAGATGTTGCAGAGGGATTTTGCTTTACTTGCTATAAGTGCTTCCTTACAACGCTTGGCACCCACAGCCACGGGCACCTGAGCGTGCAGGCATTGATGTGCAGGACAGGCAGCGTTTGGAACACAGGGATTTTATTCTTTCTGGAAGCACATCAGTCTGAACTCAGCAAAGCACAGAACGCAGCTTCATACAGCAGCACAGACACGTCACAAAAGAACATTTTTCCTTTTTCCATGCTGAGTTTATATACAGATAGAAGGGCTCTCGGTACCATGTGAAGCTCCAGCATTGCTTTGGTCCCTTCCTTCGCTCGCATTCACCACCACCCATCCTCGCACACACTCGTACCCCTGCAGTAGCAGTTCTGGTAGCAGCAGGTGGCACTCAGCTTCATTTTCCTGCTGCCATGAGGATGATGTGCTGCAAGGATGGTGAAGAGCTGTGGAGCAGAGGTGCTCGCAGGTGGCTGTAGCTCCCCTTCGGCTCCGTTACAAACCGATCGGCTGTAAATGGAGCTTTGGTTTCGTGTACCTTTTATCTGTTGTGTTGAGATGCTTTTCTGATCTGAGAGCTGTGGCCCTTAGCAGCCCCGCTCTGCTTGGTGGAGGTGATCCTCTAAAGGGATCCCACCTCCTCTCCATCACCTCATCCTCCGTTAATGAGCTCTGTTAACCCTTCCAGTTCAGTGCATCTCCAGCTGGGATGCCACTCCGCTCGGCTTCCTTGGCTGAGAAGCGGTCCCAGCTCTCCCTTTGCTGCCTGGTCTGCATGGATGCCCTCCCTGCCTGCAGCAGAGGACTGAGACAGGAGGAGGTGGCACAAGAGACGAGGGAGAACCCAGCATTTCACTGAGGAATGGTCTGAGTATTAGAGAACAACTTTGGACCCAGCTGGGCTCCCGGTCCTCTCAAGGCAGCAGGGAGCAGCCTGGGTGTGAGCAGAGTGGTGGAAGGAAAGCAGCTTTCGGCTCTTTCTAAGCTCTTTTTCTCTATGCTTCAGTGCAGAAAAGTTTCATAACCTTAAAAACCACTTTGGTCCTCTTTAACCCTTCGAGTTCCGTTGCCAGCAGAGGTAGTGGGTTTGCATTGAAGGGTTACCTTACACACACACACACAAAAAGACTAAAAGCTCACAGCGGAGGGGGTTCAGCTTGGTTCAGGCACCCTGCATCTCCCCCCGCTGCCCTCACAGCATCGATTTTAGAGATCAAATATACATCCACAAAGCCCTGAGACCGTGCAACGTGGGGAGGGCGGAAGAGGAAAATGCCCATATCGTTGTATACAAGCAGCAACGCGAGCTTCGTCAGCCGAGCCACCGCCGCCTGAGGCCGCTCTCACTGCTGAGCTGCGGCGGTGGCGTCGCTCTCGGGCTCCTCTTCGGGGTCGCTGTGCTCTCCTGCAGCGCAGCGCAGCGCTGAGCCCTCCGTGTCCCACTGCCCGGTGCTGCACGTGCGGCTGCGCTGCCCCTCGCTGCCCTCCTCGTAGAACGGAGCTTCGTCCGTGCTCGTTTCGCTCTCTTGTTTTCGCAGCTGCCCGCCGTCCTCCGGATCCGAGTCGGAATCCACCGATCTCTCGCTGGGCTCTGTGGATCCGTACGGAGCTGTGAGGTGGTCGCTGCTCTGCGCTGCCTCGTCCCCGAGCCCCTCACCGCGGCGAGCAGCGATGGAGGTGTGGGGACGGGTGCCCCCAAGGGCTGGGGCAGCGCGAGAACCCAGATCCCTCCTTGCAGCCCCAGACCCGTGTCCCCACAGCCCCCAGAGCCCCTCACTCACCCCCGAACGCTCCCACGTTGTACCCCAGGTCGCCTTTCCCCGGGGGCTGCGGGCACGGAGCGGCCGTGGGCTCATCCTGCTGGGAGGGGTCCGTGTGAGGGGGGAGCACACAGGGCCAACCTCACGCCCCCCCCCGTTGCTCCCTCCCCAGGGCCCCATACCGGGGTCTCGTCCTCGCGATCTGCGGTGAATTCAGTGCCGCCAGCGGTCAGAGTGCTGCCTTTGTCCTCGAAGATGGTGGGGTAGAAGATGATGAGCGCCTCGATGACGCGCGCCTGGTGGGGGTAATCCACCAGCGAGGACAGAGAGATGGTGGCATCCGTGGGCCGTGGCCGCAGCAGCGTCGGCCCGAAGACGATGCCCAGATTGCTGGAGGTCATCTTGTTGTCCTGCTCCACCTCCACGATCCTGGATGAGGAAATCCATGAGAGCAGGCAGCGGCTGCTCCCCTTTCTCATCCCACCACGGGGACAGAAGGGACGCCCCCCCCCCCCCAGCCCGGATCCCCCTCCTCACCTCCTCAGATGCTGCAGGAGGAACTGCAGCGTGGCCGTGTTTTCCCACGGGAGCTCCTTCAGCAGCTCCTTCAGTTTCAACACCAGGTTCACCACCACGCGTTCGGTGTCGGCCCCTTTGTCCACCAGCTCCGGACCCCCTTTCCCACTCCTCCCTTTGGCCTCGCTGCCGCCCTGCAGGCTCTCCTTGGCTGCTCCCATCAGCGCGTTGTACATCCGGAACGGCACGATGGGCTCGGGCAGCTGCGAGGAGAACAGTGCGAGAGAAACCCTGTGAGCTCCCCAGATGGAGAACGCTTCTTTTCCCTTCAGAAAAAAAGACACAAAAACCCAGCCTGGGGCGTGTGCGCGGCTTCTCTATAGATAAGAGGTTGTTAAATGGGACCGTGCTAATTGTTCCCTGGGAGGAGGGGGAGGTGAGAAGGAATCAGCGCAGCCTGCAGCTGTCAGGAGGAGCGTTTGGCTTTGAAGTTTGCATAAAGCAACCTGAGTGCGTTCGTGCACCGCCCGGCAGTTCTGCAGCGCTGCTGATGTTTGCGGTGCCTTCCCCGGGTGTCTGCTGGGGATGGATCGCTTTGCAGCAAAGCAGCGCTCCTGCAGAGGGACTTGAAACCGATTTCTCTGCCGTGCACTGAGCCTGGATCTCAGCACAGGGCAGACCTCTTCTTTTTGCTCTCTGCTCTCCGTATCCAGGAGCTCGCAGCCCCTCTCTGCAGTGCGGGGACGTGGGGAGAAGCCTCCTCTGCCCCCAGGAAACCAGCAGAAAGGGTTAAGCCGTGAGAGAGAGAAGCTGCTTCCTCTCCTCCTGCCCCGTTTGAGGATGTGGGTCGGGGTTTGAGTTTCGGTGCAGGACTGAGCTGATGGCAGAGATGTTTGCTGCGGGCAGAGGGCCGGGAGAAGTGAGCTGAGCCCAGCCCCGCTGCGGGGCGACCTTTACGGCCACTTCCCTTTCTCCTGCTGCTTCCCCAGCTGCAAAGGGGAGGGACGGTGCAGCGCTTCGCGTTGTGTTGCTGTGGGCAGGGACTTCGTTGCTGCAGCTGATGTTGTGTGAGGGCTCACTGGGGGCAGACGCATGGAGCCGCCCTGAGATGCGCAGTGAGATTGCTGATCCTCCTGCACACACCTCCATCGGGCCAGCTGGGCAGGAGGGGCTCTGATCCACCCAGCAGGCAGCTGTCAGCACAGCTTGCAGCAGGATCGCCCCCTCCAGGCACGGATTGCTGGAATCACCAGGAATCACCTCTGCCCTCTGCCCCCACCTGTCTCAGGTAGAGCTTCAGCACGTTGCTGATGTCGTGTGGGGACGCCTGGGAAAGCTCCACCAGCTCCTTCCCGTTCTCAAAGGCCTGGCAGAGCTTCTCCACGCGGGTCTTCACGCCGTTCACTCGGTAGATGCCCTGCCAAGGGGGAGAAAACCAAAGTTGAACATTTCTCTTTGGGTTCACACGAACTCTCGGCTCCCAGCCACTCCTTTGGGGGTGGAAATCCCCCTCAGGAGGTTTGGAAGAGCTGTTGCAGCTCAGATGTCGCTGCTGTTCCCCTTTTGTAGGGAAGAGAGGGAGCGCAGGACGTGTTTCCGTGTCAGTTTGTTTGTTGTGGGACCTCCTGCCTCAGAACCTGAGGGCTGCGCTGGTTCTCATAGCAGGACAGAGCCCACCTGGAGGGCAAGCAGCTGGAGCAGAGGGGAGGGCAGGGGGCTCACCTTGGTTTTCAGCGCCCTCTTCTCAATCTCAGAGATGCATTTCTTAACGATGAAGGGGATGCCGTCAGCGCTGCCCTGAGAAGCCTTCAGGAAGTCCTGCCCAAAAAGCTGCAGCTTCCCCTGGAGCTTCTTGTGCCCACATTGGATGGCCAAGGTCTCCAAGCACTTCTTGTGGCACGCCAGGTAGCACTGGGAGACAGGGAAGGGCTCAGAAGCGGGATCCCCCCCCACCTCCCCAATCCTCCCACATCCCCAGCATTACCTCCTCACATTCTGCCCCCTGGAAGTACACGTAGCTGTTGCATTCCCTGCACTTGGAGGGGGTCCGCAGCTTCCTCAGCCGGTGGGTCTGGGCTGCCCTGGACAAACCCACGTTCCGGAAGGGTCCCGTGGGTGCTGCCATCTCTGGTGTGATCCCATTGATGCCTACAGGCAGAGAACAAAGGGACACATCAGCATTCTGTCTCCTTAGGGGTCAGGCAGAACGAGGCTCGAGCAGAAGGATCACTGTCATATGGGGACCTGGCATGCCAGCACGTGGGGCACACGGACACACAGGACATGGAGACACAGGGGACACGTGAGCCATGTGGGGTCATGCTGACACATGGGACACGTGAACATATGGGAAAAACAGACCCACAGGACATGCTGACACATGGGACACACGGACACACATGTGGACACATGGGACATGCTGACACACGGGGCTTTGGGCCACATCCCAGCTAACCAAGGGCTGTGCTCCTGATGGAGCTGTTGCCACTGCTTTGCACAGGGCCTGTCCCTGCCTAGTGGGAATGGTGTTGTGTTCCCCATGGACTCGCTGGTATTTCAGCTCTCCTCCCAGCAGAAGAGGGGGGCAGAGACCCCACACAGCACAGCACAGCACAGCTGCATCTCCACTCCATCACATACTCTGCTCAAAGGAGGCAGCGTTCTCATCCTTCTCTCCCAGCTCCTCGCTGGAGGACATGGTGCCATTGGATGACAACCGTTGCAGTTTGTGGCTGAACTCTCCTGCTAAAGCAAAGCCTGGTTTGAGAGCTGGGAAGGATGGGGGGGATGAAAGGGGGGGGGGGTTTGGGGGCACTCCTGTGCGTGTGGCTGTCCCTGCAGCAAGGAGTGGAGGTGGAGCAGGACAACAAGATGACCTCTGCAAGAGAAAGGTTGGAAGTGAAGAGAAACAGAAAAACAGAAGGGTTTCTGTGCTCGTTGGGTTCTGGCAGCTGGGGAGCTGGGGATTGCTAGAGGAATCAAGGGCTGAGGGAGCTGCACCTTCCCATGGGTGCAGCACAGGTTTGGTGGTGCCCCCCGTTCCAGTAGGTAGGGATCAGCAGTTAGCTGTGATGGAGTCTTAATTCTTAGGGAAGCTAAAAGGAAAAGGAAAAGAAAATGGGGGGGAGGAGGGGACAGGAAGGAAAAGATATAAAGACAAAGGAAAAGATAAAAAGGAAAAATGAAAGAAAAAAGAAAGCGCTGTTGGCAAGGAGGTGCTGCCTTCGGATGGGCTCCACCAGAGGGCAAAGGACGGCCCGGATTCTGCACCCACCTGTGCTGGAATCCAGGCTGCTTTCAGCTTCAGAGGTGGTCGGCCAGGATTTGTGCACCTGGTGTCCCCTCCCTGCTGTGGGAAGAAGGGCTCACCGTTTGGGGCTGTCCCTGATGCCACGCAGAGCAGCTCTGATAGCAGAAGCATTTGCTTGCTGCAGGCAGTGCTCAGGGCTGGGCTTTTCTCACCTCTGCGCTCTGCCAGCGTCCCACCCTGGGTCTCTCTGGGTCCATCTGTGCTGCTCCCATCCCTTGGCAGCCCAGCCCCGTCAGAGCCACCACTGGAGGAGAAGTCGCTGGCGTTGAAGCTGCCCTTCCGTGTGCGGGTGAAGGGGGACCTGGTGGTGGGGAGGGAGGAGAAGGGCCATGTCCAAGAGGACGTAGCGGGAGGGATGCTAGAAAAGCCACTCCAAAAGCAGTGGCTATCCACCAGAGCTGAGGTGGAAGCCTTCTGCTCCTGCACCAAGCAGCCTCTGTCTGCAGGAGCCCCCCCTGCAGCTGAGGGTGGTGCAGAGGAGCAGCGATTTCCCCCTCCTCTCCTACCAGGCGCTGTGGGACACGTAAGGCTCGAAGTCGTACTGCGTGTCGGGCTCATCCCCTCGCTGCAGCTGCTTGACATGCGAGGCATATTGCTGCCCGGGGTCGTACAGCTTGCTGCTCTCACACAGGGTTTGGAAGTAAACGGGCAGCGGCGCTGTCTGCATGTGCATGATTTGGTAGAAGGCGATGGTGGCCTGAAAACAATGGGGAGGAAGTCAGGGCAGGAGTCAGGGGGTGGCACAGGGGGAGGAGAGGCACGGAGCTGCCAGGTGGAGAATCGGGAGTGGGGCTGGGGCTGCAGCCCTGCTCTTGGCTCTGTGCAGCACAGGGCTGAGCAGCTGCTTGCCCTCCGGCCCCCCCTGGCTGTGGCACGGCCCCCAGCCCTCCCAACTCACCAGTTTGATGACCTGGTCGCTCTGCTTGATCAGCTCGTGGATCTGCCTCAGGGAATTCACTTTGGTGTCCTCCAGCTCCTGCTTCTGCGTGTTGGCATCTGCCACGCAGGTCCGGTAGGTGGCCATGGCCTCTTCTGCCTGAGGGGTGGGAGAGGGGAGATGGAAGCTGCTCAGAGGTGTGGAATTGGATGGGAGCTGCCTCCCTGTGCTGGACCCTGTGCTCTGTGTTGAGGTCAGGATGAGCTTTCAGCCCCTGTGCTTCTGGGCTGCCCTGTGCTAGGACAAGGAGCAAGATCCCTGCAAAGCAGTGCCCGGAGCTGCTGTGCTCCCACCTTGTTCTTGGCCTCCTCTTCCAGCCTCCTCTTCTTGTCCAGGGTTTTGGTGGTGACGTTGCTGGCGGTGCTCTGCTGCTCCTCCTCTGCTCTCACTGCCACATATTTGGCCTTCTCGTGCTCCTCGCTGCGCTGCATGTACACCTGCTTGGCCTTCCGCAGGTTCACCTCTGCATCTTGCTGCCAAAGGAGGAGCACCGGGGTGAGGGCTGAGCCCTGCAAGGGTCACCCTGCACAAAGCTGCCCAGGATGGGTGGGAGGATGGGTGGATGGATGGATGGGTGGATGGATGG